AAGAGATAAATCTGCAAAGGAAGGGGTTAATCAAGTGAATAGTGCTCCGTCGTGTACATCTTGAAGTAATTTGTCAAGTTAGATCGGCCGAACATTTTAAAGTAGTGAAGTGTAAAAGTAGTAAGTTTTCTGGGTAAAAATTTGACAACCTGTAAAAAATATCAATTTTAAATCAATTCGAAAGCATTTTATATTTCCTTTCTATTTAAAAGTATATTACATTATTTAAGGTCACTAATATTTTATCAACAGGAACTTTTTTATTACGCATTTGTTTCATAATAACCATTGTCCTCGTACGTGTGCATTCTATTGTCAGTTGGTTAGCAAAACTTATCTGTAAATATTCTTTGCACGGAAACTGTAACTCTAACAAAGAAAAAGGTTCCGGGAGAGGCGGGAAGGAGCTGGAACGCTTGGGTCAATTAAACACACACACACACACACACACTACTGTTGTCTCTGCAGTGACTCGACTGGGAATCCTAGGGTTCGGATCTCGCTATTCATTTAGGTTGAATTCAGCTGCGCTCTTAAGGAGAATAGAATCGGCCGGCCGCTCTCATCAGTTCACTTCCGTGGTTTCTGCGATCAATACCAAGCGAAAGATCCAATCTGACGATGGAAAGATTGACTTCGACAGAGGAAGATTAAGTGAATGAAATAGCAAAAGCTTCTCGGCGCAAACATGGGTCCTCATATTGGTAACATCAATTTAATATTACGTGAAAACGTCTTTTTTTAAACGTTTCATATTGACGATCTGACAGAGTTTGCGCTGAAACGCTTGCCGCCCCAATTAAGCAGAGAAGTGAATATATTTTGAAAACAAACTATAGTCCTTCTGCAAGTGGCACTTTTGTGTGATTACCTCATCGAGCGTGGGGCAGGAGCGCAGAAGGGCTCAGAATATTGCGCGAACGGTTAATCAATTATAAGGTCCCGACAAAAAGGATTTTGGCAACTCAAGTAGTCGTGGAGAAATTTATAAACTTAAAACAACTAAAACTTGTTAAAGGAGTAGAGTGAACATTTTTGTTGGGCAAAAATTTGATAAACATTAAGAAATTTCCGGATTTCGCTCAAGTGTGTAAACAAAAAACGCCAGTAAAAGCGGGAAATTATTTTATTGTTTAGGCCAATTGTTACTTAATGTAACAAAGCTGAGAAATCTCTTGTAATCCCCTTCAGCCCTTTCGTAGTACCGCATAACTGAAGTGGCGGGCGCCACTGTTCGACCGCGGATCGCGTCGTCCAGATCCGAGGCTGGGATTGGTATATACGTATTATGAATCGCCGAAAATAAATAGTTATAATTTTGGAAGTGTCTTTCACCCCCACCCCCATTTGGCTCAGGTAAGGTGTTCATGAAAAGAATGAAACTGTAATGTAAAAATACTACTCATCCAATTTTATTTTCTTATAAAAAAACACAGACGTGGCAAAAAGTCTTGGAATAACAAAATGAAAATATACAGATGCAGTAGTATCGCATACAAAAGGTATAAAAGGGCAATGCGTTGGTAGAACATTCATTGTACTCTACTAATTCATGTGAAAAGGTTTCTGACGTCATTATGGCAGCACGACGGGAATTAACAAACTGAACACGGAATGTTAGTTGGAGTTAGAAGCATGGGACATTCCATTTCGGAAATCGTTAGGGAATTCAATATTCCGAAATCCACTCTCAAGAGTGTGTCGAGAATACCGAATGTCTGGCATAACCTCTCACCGCGAACAACGCAGTGGTCGACGGCCTTCACTTAATGACCGAGAGAAGTGGCATTTGCGTGGAGATGTCAGTGCTACCAGACAAGCAATGCTGCATGGAATAACAGCAGAAATCGATGTGGGACGTACGACGTACGTATCCGGAAAGTGCGGCGAAATTTGGATTTAATGGACTATGACAGCAGAAGAATGATTCATGTGCCTTTTGAGAACAGCGCGACATAGCGACTGCAGCGTCTTGCCTCTTCTCGTGTCCATATCGATTTTATCCTAGACTACTGAAAACCGTTGCTTGGTCAGATAAGTCCCGATTTCAGTTGGTAAGAGCCTATAGTGGTTTAAATTTGAATTGATTGATAGGGTGCAAGTGTAGTGCAGGTCTCATGAATCGATGGACTCAAGTTGTCAACAAGGCACAGACTGTTATACCCATGTTGGTGGGTTCAAACCCGATCGAAGCAGTGGATTCTTAAGGGCGAAAAAATCCTTCATACTTCGTCCTTCGGAGGGAAAGTAAAGCCGGCTGTCCCATGTTAGTAGATTTACTTGCACGTAAAAGATCCTCAAGCCTAAATGACGCATCTGAGCTAAATTCAGTTCGCCGGTTTCGTCGCCCAAGAAATACCTCCTTTCTACGCTAGTGGGTGAAAGGAACGTAGCGAAATTCGTGTGGTCAGACGGAAGAGTAGGCCTGATAGTCCGAGTCTCGCCGCGTAAAAAAGCATCAATTCAATTCAAACTGGACTCAAAATGATGGTATCTCCGTAATGGTGTGGGCTGCTTTTACGTGAAATAGAATGGGTCCTCTGGTCCAACTGAACCATTGACTGGAAATGGTTAATGGTTTGTAACATTTGCGGGAAGCACGTTCAAAACCATCTACATGTATTGCAAGCAGTTCCGGTATTAAACATGGCCTGGACTCTCCAGCTGATTTCGGGCGAATGGAATCGAAAACAACAATAAACGAAACAAGAGTTTCGTCCGACAGCCGATGTTTCTCTTAACTTCAAAATCTGTTATGGAAGCGCTAAGAAGCTATCGTTGTATTGCGGGTTGCCTTTGGGATGCCCTCTCCCTCATTGTAAAATTTCAACTTCTCAAACTAAATTATATTGCAGTAACGTTATTTACTACATTTGCTATTTGCAGATCATCTTAACCTATATATAAAGGCTGAGAATATTGTCAGCGTAACACATCGAAAACATTTCCCGTCGCTGAGGGGACAGCTGTACTGGCAGAGGATGTGTCGTGGTAGCTGTGCTGGTGCAAAGGGCGTACACCGCCAATGGTAGCTGTAATGACAACGAATGAATACTTGTTCTCTGGCCAATGCCCCTCCACGCGCGAGTAGGTATCCGTTTTCGGATTAAGCCAGGAAATGAATCATCATTTTAACCTGCTGATGCGTTCCGCTCGCTGCTTTGCAAAGTCGTCTAGTTGTGTGGTCAGCAAAAGTATTCGAATGCGACGACGAGAATGCAAATGAACTACTGTTAGCTGCCTCGCAATTGTAGGAGTGGAAACATGTTCTTAGTTGCGTTGCTTCATGAAGGGATTAGGTCATGCTTGATCATGGCGCGATCGGCCCTCCTCGTGTCCATTCTGGGACTTCTCGGGGGGGGGGACTACTTTTGGCTCGCATACTTCCCACTGTCTTCCGCATTCAAATTATCCATCTTCTTTCGAACTAACCTAGAGGGGGTGTTATGGGCATAAATAATAATAGAAAATAAAATAACTCTACGATTGTAACGATGTGTTATTGTTATGAATACATGTTATTATCAACTGATTGCATCCAATATTTGGTTTGGTTATGTTGCGATTGTCTATTAACACGACTAAACACATTGTAATGTGACTGAAAACGTAAAACATTTTCCTTCGTCTTTCATTATTTAATATTACTTAATGTACTTAATTCTGTATAATTAAAAACTTAGTTTACTGGTGAATTTTTGCAGTCATATTTGTTTTATTATTTTGATTACTTATTTTTAATCTATTCATTAAATCGGAAACGACTACAAATACACATTATTATAGAAATATTATGTATAAAATTTCTTACTTTCTTATGAAATGACGCCCTCCACCGTTGGGTTCTATGTCCATCCACGAGTAGCGTGTGGTAGACAAAACAAACTCGCGGCAGATTTCCTTAGAAATCCTGCCTTTCAAAGCTTCATTGCTATTTGTCATCATGCACTTCATCATTATCGCTTCATTGGTCTCAATTATCTCCGAAGTTGGTTTCCTCGTAAACTCCAATTAATTAATATTGCTAACATATTTCCTATAGTGACACTAGTGACAGTGCAACTATTTTGTATGGTAGTGGGTTGAATTGAACACTGTGATACATTTTGTTCCAAAAATGAAACCACAATTGTTGTACTACGCTCCTCTGTATTTGGTGTTTAAATTATGATTTCTGACAAGGTCTTGCGTACAGAGCTACTTAACGTGAAATAAACAACCATTACTATTTAAAAAGACATGTTCATATTTCCTGATTTCACTGCACAAAAAACTTAATTACACATTAAGTATTCTCTGCAATTGAGGTACGAATGGCAATATTTCTATATATTATTTGTCTGCCTTTCACTCTGTGAAAAAAACAAAGTTTCCTAGCGGCGGTTCTTCGGAAACATTTCAAGTGAATCGGTGACTAAAGGAAAACTGAGTTGTTGAAATAAGCGAACCTTTGTCATTTCTAACTCTTGCACACGTATTCATTTAATACAAGGGGTAACCGGGAAATCAAATTTCCATATTTAATGATTCATTTTAATACACCGCAATTGAATTTTTAATATTAAATTAAAAGCTTTTTTCAATTCAAAATTTATTTTAGTGACACATTTAGTCATTCATTTTAGTGGCAATAATAAATAAAGTCTAGAATTCTAATTTTGAAAAAGCATTGTACATTTTTTTTAAGATATATGATTAAATTTTGCTCAAAGGTAAGTCAGTTTAGATATCTTTTTCTCATAAGCGGCTCCAAGTTTTGTCCCTATTTTTTTCTTCGGATAGAACAGACGAGGACGTGGGTTCATTTTTGTTGAATTTGATATATATTGAAAAATTGCACTTGTTAGAAATAATGCGAGAATGTTTGTGCTGTTTTAGCATCGCTAGTTTTCTTGATATGTTTTATTTTTGCCCGCAAAGCAAATTCTTTTCCTATATTGTATTCACGACCATTGTTCTTAATTCTTATAAAGTACTGAATCCCATATTTTCACTTTCAGGATGAGTCCCGAAGCAGCACTACAAAGGTTGGAGAGAAAAAGCGCTGGATTCACGACCCCAACAGTAAGTTTATTTTGCATGTTTTAATGTGGCATATATTTCAGTTCTGTATTCTCTATATTCATTGCTATAAAACTGTTTCAAAGCAGTTTTCCATTTCAAATAAACAATTGTCCACTCTGATTATGAACGACATGCCATTGTCCGATGTTAAGGCAACAAACTTTTGTGTCTCTCCATTCAGTCAAACCTCAAATGGAACATATTCCAATGAATACAAAATTAAGTGCATTATGTTACGCATTCTGAATTGTTTCAAATACAGTGAGCCTTCATGTTTCTCGTTATGAATAATTCGCGAATGTTCATTCCCGCTTGAGATACGGCATAATAATCTGGGGAAACACAAACTGTAGCTTCCAGACTTTTAAATTATAGAAAATAATTATACGAATAAGTAAATCCCAACCACGTGATTCTTGAAAGACTATCTTTATTACTTACAATTGCTGTGTCTTACTCAGGGGTGGGAACATATTTACATCGAATAAATATATCTATAACTGTCACACTCGACTTGGAAATCTTATGCATTAGGAGCCAGTATCAATAGCTCACTACAAAAAATTCACTTGCAATACATATTCATTACTATTTTAGAACTCACTGCCAGATTACATTGAATTCAATACACAAGTTTGTGACAATAAAATATAATCTGCTCCATAATTGTTTTTATACTGAGCATCAAAAAGGAAAATAATATTTGTTTTAACAATGATATCTAATATATTAGTTATTACATAATTCTAAAAGACTAAAAAGCATGTAACTGGTATTGTACCTCAGCTTCTGGATCAAAGACTCCCACTTCGATCAGGTTTTTTGTCCAGTTTACCTCATCCTTGAGTAAATGCTGAGATGGCCCCTTGTTTGGCCTCTGGACTAAAATGTTGCTTCATTATCTGTAAATTGTTTCTTAAGCTCTTTCGAGAATGTAGATATTGGAATAATCGTTTTCCATTTTATCGCGGCAGGCAGTCGATTCCTTAATAATAATATTTATTGAGTCACATATACAATTACAATCGTGTATGACGAGCCAAACGCCCGTTGCTACATGTATTCGACCTAATATATAATGAGTAAGTGTAGACATCCCGGATCTCAAGAAACCAAGCATATATTGCACATCTCCCTATTGTACGTCACACAGTTTTAAAATGTTTTTGGCGTTAAATAAATAAATACTCCAATCCCGTGCGAGAACTCTACTTTAAACCCCACTCTCTTCCTATTAAAACAGAACGTTCTTACCGAAATATTTATTTGTTTAAAAAATGTTTAACTTCCAATACACTTCAGAATATCAAATAAGGATAAAGAGCCGTGCAATTGATATTTGAAGAACGTCAAAAAAGGTTTACTCGTTACTATAGACAAATGGTCTTGAAACAATTCACATTTCCTTAAAAACAACATATGAAGTAATTATACAATCTTCCTTGACAGCTTTTCGCTTTCCTTGCTAGTCACAAATACATTAGAAGAGCTGTTTCCTGTTGAGAAAGCTACGTTAAGTTGTCCATGCCAAAATGCGGGATCGGGCTAGTACGTGTACAACCCTACTCTTTGAAATATTTTTGTAAATATTATTACGAACAGAGAGGTACATATGTGACATTAAATCACATAGAATCCATATGTAGTATTTGACTAACTTCGAGTGTGTGTATGTGCAAGTGTGCGGAACCGTCACTCATTGATAGACCACTGAAAACATGCTTCCCATGCTCCAGTCGAGACATATGAGGTGTCATTCGACGCGCCTCGGTCTCCTGATGGGGAACTGATAATTTGTTTTTGGATCCGGCCAGAAGATTCTAAGAAATTGCCAAAAACGTGTTGTGGCGCTGCGATCTTAGTGCGTTGATAGGGAATTAAACCGGCGCCACATTAATAGATCTACCTACCTGGCATTGATTAAACCCCATTACCCCGTGGTTATTTTCAGTCCACGACACCATAATTTTCTTCCATGAGGGTGGCAACAATGATTATTGACAAGCAATATTAAATTAATATCGCCAGTCAGAATTTATTGTGAATTCATAAGAGTGAAGTATTTGCATGCTTATTTTTGTAATAAATTTGCACCTTACTTTGAAACGTTACAATTCAAGAACATCAAGTGAATACGAAGAAAACAAGAACTGTTAGTAAAACTAGAGAAGCGCGTAAAGACAGATTTTCAATTTAATGTGACTTACAACTTATTTTCCATATTCAAGTAAACATACACAATAGTAAACTTACAATGCTTATGTATATTTACCTTCAAAACACAAATCAGACTGAGTTTGTGGAGTTTTAAGGTCTTAACTGTGAGTTGTTTTTTAAATCATTTTTCGAAATAAGTAATTTAAACAAGTAAACTTGAATAGTTTTGGTGTGACCCTTTACCAAGACAACTTATAACTGCAACCACAAAGTTGTTTAGTTTAGTTTAGTTTAGTTTAGTCTTCTGAGTGTTGTTTTCATAACAACTACTCATGTTTAGGAGTTACTTCAGTACGTAATAATACGTTTTTGATGAAATTTGGAACATGACATTAAGCTTTCGTTATGAAACAGATTTTAAACGATCTTGAAACGTCCGTATATTCATCTATGTAAGATTATGTATGTCTCCTGATTGCGGAGAAAACGAGTACGTTCTATCGAGAAACGACGTAGTTGCGACGTGACATTCACGACACGTTGCGACGTGACATTCACAGCATGTCATTGGGACAAAATCAAGAAGTCTCTTCGGGTAAATAGAACCTTTCGCAAGTTCCTTAAAGCTTCTTTAATAGCTGTAACACTTCACAAAATAAAAACTGTAACATTGATCTTAGACATTTCGACAGAAAATGTATGTTCAGTAGAAACAGAGAGCAAGTGATAGAATGACACGTTGGTTGCATAACCTCAAGGCGGAGCCACATTCGGGATTCATGTACCGAGCGACTGATCGCCAATTTCCGATTAGCCGTGGTGATCGGCGAACGTGTCTTTTCATGATTTGATGTCCCGCAAAAGACCGACTCGCTACTGGTTGAGTGAGCACTGAATGGTTCGCGCTTGGCACACAACAAGCAACCATTGTCATTACTCGGGATAATGTGAGCAGTCTGTCGGTACTCGCCGAACGTCACAGGTGTGACACGTCCTTCACTGGCAAATGGCCCCACCTCATGGCTCGTAAACGACGACGTAAGTATTACGATGTACACACGTAGGCTACTCGCGCTCTCGATGTCTGTCAAATTAAGGAAGAAAGAATTAAATTGAAATTTTCCCCTTCGTATTTTTGTCCTTTTTCTTGTTCAGGCTGATTCTTAATGTTAAGTTGCGGACCCGTTGTTCCATTTTATTTTTTACTGGCAAAATACCTGACGTTGCTCGGCCTTACGTCATATTCAATCCTTGTGAAAAAGGGGAAATGTCAATATTATATAACCCAAGGTGTTTAAGATTATTTTAATGAAATTCAAGTTTTAATAATATACTACTAAAAAATACTACTAAAATACTAAAATTTTCTTTCATTTTATTTTACAGTACTATTCGATTAATTTTTTTCATTGTAAGCACGGCTACTGGACTATTAGGTAACTTTTCCTACACCACGTCTGTCCTCTGATGGAATTTATCAGGAACTATCTATTAGGTTTCAGTTCTGGGCAGTAAACGTATATAGTAGCGCAGCTGAGTCCGTTTTGGGCTAGTTAGGGATGCACGCATACAGCTTCTATCCTGATGGAGACAAAGTAAAACTACGGATTGCTGAAATCAGCGTGAACTTGAATTAACTTCCATACCCACGAGATCAACGCCGTTTTGCTTTCCAGAGGGTGTTGCCGAAGTATTGAATTGCTTGTGAAGTTGCATTTTTAAGAACCTTAAGATCCTTTCCTGATCTGGAGTCCAGAAATCAAAATGAAATATCCGCCTCAAATTTAGTGAAAACAAGTGCTTCACCTCTAGTAGAAATACATGTGGGAAAAATTCGGTTTTTATTGTTGTAAATATGGAATGTTATTTTGTAATTTCTCCACTTGAATTTCATACTTTCTACATAATGTATAACACCATATCGCACCTACTTTTTCAACAAAATTAGCCAACACATCCTCGTACTCCTTCAATTATTGAAAAGCTCGCCGAAAATTATTGTAACTTCCTTTGGATTGACTTGGCAATAAACCCTACACAGCTTCAGCGTATTCAGTTCTAGTAGAATGAAATTTCTTCCATCCCATCAATTTCGCCAGTTACTGTGCTCAAATGCAGTAGGATATGTAATTCTTAAAAACTGACACATTAATTTAATTTCTCTATTCATACTGCTAGAGATAATATTAAAATAGCAATTGGATGTGATAAAACTAATATTACGCATGGCAGATCATTATGTACTCGTTAGTGGATATACACTTCCTCTACTGGACTGGTGAATACTTAATTAAATAACACGAAATATTATCTTTAACCTCTTGTGTATTATATGAAATGATTGTATTTATACAGTTCATATATATATATATATATATATATATATATATATATATATATATATATATATATAGTGTGTGTGTGTGTGTGTATTTGGGCACGTGCACGTGTGTAAGCAAGCGATATCCCGCTCCTGTATTCTAGTGGAGGAAGCCAAAACGTAGGGACACAGTATCCGAGATCGACCCAGTATAATTCTCTTCACATTACGTTGGCAGGTAATTGAAGGTTTCTTTTTGGATTAAATTGTAAAAAACCGAATCTGTCTGACAATGCTATTTTATTGCGACTGTCGTTCAGTCTTCTCGACATCAATGAACGACAATAACTGACCCTGTGGCGCGGGATACGGGACTATTGGTCAGATCCCATAATTAAAATTTTTGTTACTTCACAATTTCTGAACTGAAATTACCTCCCTCCCCCAAAATCAATTGTTAATTCCCCCTCCTATGCGACAATAATTGTTTAAATAATATTTTAATAATAGTTTGTAGAGTAATATAAAATCATAACGTCAATTACAATTCTTTTTATTTTCCAGGTGATTTGTGTCATCCTCTCGACTGCAAGAAAAAAGAACTGTGTCTTCTAGAGGATGCTTTCACGGCGGTGTGCGTGAGCAAGAAGGAGCTCCACAAAAATGGGTGAGGAATTGTTATGGAAGTTCGGGCACACCGGTACACTGAAAACATAGGTTCGAAAATCCTATCTTACTCATGGAAAGGAACAGCCTCTTTTCGCAGCTTCTTTGCATTTCACGGAGTACGAGAAGTAACGAATTTTTTTTCCCACATTTCTCTTTGGTTTTAAACTCAGAGGGACAACCCATTCAGTTGAGAGAAGATGGTACTCAATATTGTCAATATAATAATATTTGGTAATGTTCCATATCGATTCCGTAGGCTTCCGTAAATTTATTTTCTGAATATACGTCACATGCAGTTTATACTAGTTTTGAAGATCAATTAAATAACTTATTTTCCATACATGAAGGTGACAGGAACCCCTTACTTGGCGGTCAGTAACCGACAAGATGTTCATCACGTTTATTAATTCGCAAGTTTTGTAGTATTTTTTTTTTACATTTAATTCAATTAGTATGTAAACGAGGTTGGAGAATAATAACTCACAGAGACCTTCCCCCTAAATCCATCACTGGTTTTATAATATGTAAATTAAACATTCATATTTTAAATATTGCCTTCTAATGAAAATTCACTGAAAAAAAAGGCCACTTTAAAAACATTGCTGTTGAATTTGATGTGAACCTTAACAAATGAAACTCGCTAGTAAAACTTATTCTGATATATTCATTTCCATTTCAATTCAGTAATGTTGCAATGATCAGATTTTACAAGACAAATGTATAAGTTAAACCGTTGGGTAAAATCCTGTAGTCTACAAAGGACCAGATTGAGTTTCCTGGAGTCTCAGTATTATCGATTCACTCTAGTTATTTCCTTTTTGGATAAGCTGTACTTTTGTGTTAAGTACAGTCACGATCAAGAAAAATCTTAAGTAATGCTTCAAGTAGCTTTGATCGGAATATAGTACGTACTATGTGTGTAAATGCCTGTGGACGCACAAAGATATGTCTTCGGAATGGTTAGAAAGGATGGTATGATAATATTTGTGTATAATTCAGTATTTTTTTTTTAAATTTGACCCTTCGTACTAAATTACGACTTGCCTATGAAATAAAGAACGCTAATTGAAGCATTTTTTTAAATTTGCAATATTCTCATAGAAAGTTCATTTCTCGCAATTATACTCCACGGTGTAAGTTTTCTAACATTCTCAACCGTTTCCCTCCTCTATTACATAACATATGATGTTTAAAATACACAATCGCGCTCAGAGAAGGAAAATGACACGTACGACAGCGATTTACCTATTTCATAAGCCATAGATCGTTGGAAAGAAGGCCGTTTCCGCCGGGCGGGTGGGCGTGGATTCGTGCCAGCTACGCGAGATTTCTGAGAATCCTCTTCACGCACTACGTGCGCTCTGGAAGCGAGTATTCGGAGAACGTGTGGTCGATATTTCCTTAAACCGAGTTCTATAAACCGGTTGAATCCTTTGGATATTGGATAGATCGAATTTCGTTTTAGCATAAATGTCGAAATGGTTAGGGCTAAAGGCTTATTTTAAAGTTCCGCCAGTAAAGCCTTGGTCTGCGTTATAAAGAACTTCGTAACGCAAGAAAGTAAAAAAAATCTGAATTATTTCATTATATCTTTTCTGTGATAACTGTAGAAAGTGCATTCGCTAATGCTATTTGAAGTTACATCCATTTTAATATCAAATGCTGTGTCTCCCTTATGTTTGCTGACCAACCTAACATTGCGGAAACCTTTCTTACCTCTGTTTATACTAGATTTTTATTTAGTTTCCTTTTTTTCTTGGACCCAAACCTTTTGTGCTCTCGATAATGCTTCATGAAATTTTAGGGATATGTGTAACTCCTAATAGTACATTGCGAAATTATGTTAATAATTCGTAGATAAAATGGCGTACTCTCTTTAAAGTTAAAAAAGCCACGTTTCTAACCGAAATCGACAACACGTACCGCTCCTAATAAGCACAGTTAAGCAATGTGTATATGTACTCGTAGTTTGGCATTTACTGTCAGATTAATTCGACTTTTGTTAGCTAGCGTTGTTCCCAGGCCTGAATCCTGTTTTGTATTTATTATACACGCCTGGGAATAAGGGAAACGTGTGGCGAGCGTGACGTAGTCCCATCACCGTGCCTATCTTATTTGCCCTGCCTGAGCTTTCTTTCGTCATACGACTACAGAACCTGAGACAATTTGTATTACAGCTTGATTTTACCCGGGCCGGGAATCAAATCTGGGAACGCCTCACGGAAAGCTAGCACGCTGTCCATGAGCTAATCGAGCGACACAATTGAACAATTAAGTCATTAATTAAATTCTTAATTTTTGAATGTTGTAAGTATAATTGCAGGAATATTACTCCCACCTCCAAACACGTATACTTCGAATTTTCATGTCTTCTAATGATTTATTATATTATTTATGAAACAAACTAGGTATCGTTCCCAAAATATTTTTGGGACGAAATATAACTTTTGTACTTGAATACTTTGCGGTATATGATAATCTTCTTATAAATTATTTGAAAAACTTTGTCTCCAAATGTTCAGCTACAGGTAATCGCCAGAATAGGTTCGTAATACAGAATAGTAAGTAAATCTTCAACTATATAGAGTTTTTAGATAATATACTGTAAAATAAAAGTTTCCTTTTTACACTATTTAAAATACACGTATATGCAATTAGTAAATAGATTACTGGATTATATTTTGACTGAGTCTACGTTAAATAATCTGCACTTGTTGGTTTAAATTTATAGATTAAAATTACGAACGAGGATTCAGCAAAAGATGCGTGAGAGAACTTGGATATTGTTCTTTGTATCTGAAATAGTAGTATATTTGGAGCTGAATACTTTTCATTAAACAAAGCCGTTTACCTATACAGTTCATAGTAAACTCAGCTGCGCGAGAATTGCATATTTCAATTCTCGCGTTATGTGAGCTTGAAATGGCGCTTTGCAGAGAAGAATAAAAATGATAAGTTGTCTTATTAAATATTATCTGTCTTTGATGAAACGATCCCTCTAATTTCTAAATTGCATTTATAGTGGAATAAAACTTACAGTTATAAATTAAAGATTGTTTTCTCTAGATTCATTGTTTTATTCTGAAGGTATAGAAAAGATCCCGGCTTGGCTACTTACTCTCCCAAAAATGTGGTAGAAATGTTTTACTTGCGTTCGTTTTTAACACACGAATACTTCATTATTTCATTCCAAACCGTTGTGTGGTGTTTTAACATATTTAATTTTGTGAGTTGAACAACACAAGCATCATACGAAAAAGTGGTCAATAATGAAACCAGAAATTTGGGCAAGTTTTAACGTTTATTATCCATAAATATTTAATTTTATCAATTTCATGTACAGGAAAGCTATAAGAAAGAATCTGCAAGTAAACATTCACTCAAAACATTTGTAAATTCTGTCGGTTACACCGTGACGGAGTAGGTGAAACCATCGCGTGAAAAGCCGGCTGCCTCCTCGCTGTCGTCGGACGGAAACTGCGAACAAAAGGAGTTGTGGAGGCTTCGTACTTATCTAGCTGCTGGGGTACTTCCGACTCGGTCTTCCTGTCGTAGATTTACCGTATCAGACACCACACTCTCTTGGTGTAATTACCTCTGTGTCCTCGTTAAGGGTTCTCAAACACGTCCTTCAACAACACGTACTTACAACCAAGTAAAGAGCTTTTGGTCTTCTCCCTAAATAACTAGGAAAAGGCATGTAGAACCGAAATACCATGTTTTATTGACTTCCCAAACCAGACGATCTTTTTTTTTTTTAAGTAAACTCAATTTTATAGACAGAATTCCTACTTGAACCATCGACTCTCCGATAGGTTTTTGTTTTCAAATCTCTCGTGCTAATATCTATAGATTGCGGTGTTCCTGTTCGTATTTACAGGTTCTTTATAAAAAAAATAGGAATGTCGTTCTTAAAGCTCGTGTTCAATGTTGCCATCATTCGCAACCACCCATATGTCACCTACATATATTATTGTAATATTGGCTAGCTCAAAGAGGTATGGTTTACAACAGCCCGTGACAATGATTCCTTGAGAACAAAAGAGTACCTTTCCGCGAACGGAGCAAAGGCTTGAGCGACGACGTTCGAAACACATCAGAAGACACATTTTAAATAGCTTACAAATGAGAATAACTGTAGTACGGTGGCTTAGGGTGTAAAACAAATGAGATTCGCCTCATTGATACAAGTACGAATATAGGAGTACGTGTATTATTGGAGAAACGTTTAAATGTGTACTGGATAAAACGTACTGTCCAGTCACATAATTGTGCCCACTGCCTATGTTCTACGCAAACGTGCAATAACCCTTCACCGACCGCAGGTGGCAGCACTAACTCTGGGGGGTATACGAGTACGTAGCGTGCGGTGCGCGGTCGTATAAAGCGTGCGGGGTGGAAGCCGAAAACAGTGCAGTAGGTGTTGTAATGCCGAAATGGAGCGATTTATCGGACGTCCAAATCATGATCATTGGTTTTCGGACCACGGGTGGAAGTATTTCCGAAACGGCTAAATTTGTAAAGTGTTCGCGTGCCGTCGTGGTTAAAGTACATAGAGCATGGCGATATCCAAAACTGGCGCGGAAGCAACTGTGGCGCACCACGAGCCACAGATGACTGTGGAGAACGACGGTTGCGGATATATGTACGAGCGGATAGACATGCAACTGTAGAGCAACTGACCGTTCAGATGAACCAAGGGGCTACCAACAGGATCTCCTCGTTCACCAAACTTTACGCATGGGCCTCTGCAGCAAGCGTCAGGTTCATGTACGCGTACTGACTGCTGTTCATCGGCGACGAAGCTTGGAATTTGCACGTCAATATTCAGGATTTTGATGGGTGGTCGTCACTTTAATGTGACTGGACACAATGATGCAAATTTATCATAGGTAATCTGACAAGTGTATTGGAAATGCATAAATATTGCGGGCGATGAATTCCCGAGTGATATGTAATAATACTATTCCACGAGTGAAATTATCTTCAAAAGGATTCGGGATGTGCCAAATATTAATAATGTGTGTTCCTACTCCAAGTGCTATTGAGGCAGAATTTTCCATGAAGTATATATCGCATCTTGCGATTGATTGGCGAGCTGGGAGGATGTGCTAAAATAGTGGTAACTTTGTGGGTATACACAGGGGTCATTGATGCATATCAGATGTAGCGATTGGTGTTAATTTCACCAGTCACAATAATATTTAGGGAAGGAAAAGGAATTGATTGTATGAATAAAGTGAAGGTAATTTTATCTACATCCCTGCCAGCCGTATGCCCGCCCTGACTGCCTTTCTCTGGTCCGCATCGTTGTATCCTGTCCTACTCGCGAATGTATTTTTGGCAAATCGCATGGAAATAAAGATGATGGCGATTAGAAAAGCGCGTAACTTTTATTAAATTTTTTACCAAATTCATTTACCTAAGTTTCTTTTACTAAACTTTTTTCTGAAGTTACGTGTTTCAGATATATTTTGTAGATTTGTAAAAAGATCGTGAAATGTCTATATACTCTAAATCTGTAAATTGCGACCTGAGAAGTGAGACTATAAAAAACATTATAATTCAGGGAATAAGTGAAGGGGAGTTTCGTTTTCATTTACATAACTAAAAATACGCAGTTAAGCGATACGATACGAGTCAAGTTAACCCCGTATTTGCAATTTGACGAAGAATGCGCAGACTGAAGGATGTTGTATGTTCATTGCGGAGGCCGATAGCTGGAGAGTCGCCGTTAACGCGATCGAAGAGAATAAAATTTGGATGGTCGGTTGGTCAGTCAGTCAGTCAGTCAGTTGGTGTAGTATACTGTCGGTCTAAAGACGATGTCGTTGTACAAAGGGAAAACGGACAATGATGCAAATTGGACTGCTGCAGGAGAGAGACTCCAGAAGGCCGCGTAAAGAGGTCGTGCCTTGACTTCGAAATAAGAGGGGGAAATGTCACTAAAGAACAATGTTCATGGCCTTTTTTTCATTCATTTTCTATGGATTCTAACGGAGCTTGCTCAAGTTATGAGACAGAAGGAAAAGTAAGGAAACCTGTTCATAACAACACGCCGACACGCCTTATCTGAACGTGTCTTGTGTGGCCGCGAGCTGCCCATCTGATTGCCTTAACAAGCGCTTGTTGGCAACTTTCCTGGGTTTGAAGAATTCCGTAAAGATACAGAACGTTTATTTTCCTCTTGCATTGTAGCATCGAGACATGTTTATCTCCTCCCGTTTTATCCTCCTATATATCTCCCTCAATTGAACGACAATCACGTGTTATTTATTGAGAGAGTTGTATCCTTTAATCTTGGTTCATTTTTCACCTCTGCGTTTATGCGCGCTTTCCGATACCCGATAGACCTTAAGAAAGCATAGACATCATGTATAGTTTAGAATGTTCCGGCAGCCTTTGCCATTAATGTCATCTTTAGAAGTTTATAATAATGATAATTTGTGTCCAGACGAATGAAATTGTAGTCGATGTTGTGTAAAGTGTCTCACAATGATTGTAATTGAATAGGAATCATAAAAATCTTCTCAGGTTTTGAAGTTGTACAGCTTCGGAAAAAAAACTGTTTTGTATGTGATACCTGCCCTGTATTTTTTTTTTATTTTTATTTTTTTTTTAGTTTATTTACTTTTTTAACCCGATTCCGTAAGAAGGAAGGTTATGTTTTTTGATAATTCAAATGATGAATTTCTTTCTTTCCCATAATATTTGAATCAATCAATGGATCTCTGATGTAGAAATGGAACCTTATGTTTTCTGCGTGAGTGCGTTTTCATATTTTTTAGCCTTAATGCTATCTAAATCGCACTTTTCCACGCCCATGTACGGCACTTTTAAGGAGAAAGATGTGTGGCGTATCACCTGATACGTCATCCCAGTCCGGTCTGGGGAAGGTGGGTGAGAAGGAGAGATTTTGCGCAGGACAATTAGGAACTGCCCCGGCATTTGCCTGGAAGTGCCCGAGGAAATCATATATTAGAGCACTCGACCTAATCGGTCAAGTAAATTTCCGGCAGCCGTTCGGTATTCAAGCCGCGATCTCCCCGTCATTGACACTCTCAATCGACAGGCGTTGTTTTGATGGTCGTAATTACAGATGTTGTCATATAAGGGCTGCATTAAATTACTTAAATATCAACATTGCAAATACTAATTATAGAAAAAATTTGGAGCTGTTTCTGAAAGTTTCTTAATAATGGCCATGCGAAAACTTCTATCTGCAACTAAAAAAATGTACACGACAGTAATCAAAGAAATAAGTGTACAATTGAAGAGAAAAACAACATAAATATTGTATTTGTTTAAGGGAGTCCAAAAAGTTTGAAAGTATCCCAATTTTCTATCATTCAAAGTTTACAGTGAAAATCAGACTAATGCTGTCTTGTATTTCACTTTCTTCTAGCAAGATGTTTAAAGAAAAAAATTGTCTCTATCTTTGAAAAGTATTAGAAATTATCCTAAGGGGTTCATGTGAAGTACTCCCTAAAACAAAAAAAACATTGATTCAAATTAGTAATCAGGCCAGACCAAATTGGATAATATTGACTTTAGAAACAATCAAATCAATATTTTAGGCACCAGTATTGTTCACAAATAGATGGATGGACTGCCAAACAGAGAGAGACAAGGACCTATAAAACATGGATTCTGACTGAACAGCATTTTAGAGGGAGTAATTTACTATATGTTTGATTTAAATATATCCACTGTGTGTATCCACAAATATATCCACTGTATATATTTGAGTGTCAGCGTCCCACACACCATGGATTTTTCTGTCAGAAAATCACAGTTTTTTGACACATTGCATAACTATCTTTATACTTCTTATATTATTCCATATATAAGTAAACATGCAAGAAAATAAAAAAAATAATAGATACTGCCATTAGCCCTATCCTCTAATTATTCCAGAATGCTTCTTGTATTTTGTTCAAAATTGTAGTAGTAAGTGTTTGGTCATCGTAATAATGTGCCTACTCTGCTCTGGATTTGTCTCCACTTCATTTTATAAAGGATAAAAGAATGTGCATGAAATGTCTCGTACTTTTCCGTGGGTTAAATTTCCATGTTTTTTTTGTTTTCCATTCTGTTATTTCCCATTCAACTTATTACCTTACTTTAAATTCTTTTCTTTCATTCATTCATTCATTCATTCATTCATTCATTCATTCATTCATTCATTCATTCATTCATTCATCCATTCATTCATCCATTCATTCATTCATTCATTCATTCATTGTTTTCATTCCAGGTAGTTTATTTTTTGTCATGGGATATTCCAAGCTCTAATATATAATCTTTGTTGTAGGGATATAATTATTCCAAAAGCGAAATACCTAGCAGAAGAGGAGGCAAAACGCAAAGCAGCTGCATCCACAACTGGCAATGCTGAAGAAAATGATGGTGATGATGTTTTCTACGATAGTGAAGATGATCAGGATGATGACGATGATCTCACAGATGCTGTTCGGTATGTTGTATTAATTATGCATTATTGTTCACTAAACGACACTGGATATCTTTTACTATAATAGACCATACAAATAAGGATTAAAGTAATTTTTTCTAGAACATATTAGTATTAGGTAATTACTGTGGGTTTTACTTGCAAATTGCAAACTTATAAACAATGTGTTTCATAAATTGAATATTATTAAATATTAGGCTTTGAAACTAGAGGGAGATTATTAGATAAGATAATAAGACCAAAAGAAATAATTTGTTGTTGTGATCTTTATTATTATTATTATTATTATTATTATTATTATTATTATTATTATTATTATTATTATTATTACTTTAGAATTTTTTTTTAGTATTTAATTTTAGTTTTGGACATTTCTGGATGCATCTCTTAAAAAAATAAATTATTCCAGCATTCTCTACTTCAGTTTTTTTTAATTATTTCATTTATTTCACAACATGATCACTGTTAGAAGTTTAACAAATACATGGGAATACTTTCCTGTTTCACACTTGTCAATTACGTTTAAACCTCACAGCTTTTATGCATGATGTAATTATTAAAAATTGTTAAACCTCCAACTGCCACCAGGGGGTTAAATGTATAGTATATCCATCAAGGGCTTATGTCTCCTTAAGGCTCCATGAAGAGGTGTCTGTCTTACTTGCTCTCAAGGGGTTAGAGCAACATTCAGGTTTGATTCTCCTGAGATAGTCATTTCTTTGATCAGTTATAAAATATCAATTATAAAATTATTTTAACTTGTTAAAATACCATATACCACTTGCACTTAAGGGGTTAGAGCAACATATCGAGAGATCCTGGTTTGATTCTCCTGGGGCAGTCAATTCTTTAAACAGTCACAACATAAATTGTAAAATTATTTTAACGTGTTAAAAATATTATTCTGTTTTCTCATTATTAATTTATATATTGCATTTTTTTCAGTCGTTGCAATCCATGCCCAGTTGTAAAACCGACATTCTTATGTGGCACTGACAATCGCACATACAGTTCTCTTTGTCGGCTTGATTACCACAACTGCATCCATCACACATCGGTTAGAGTTGGATGCAAGGGCTTCTGTCCTTGTAAAGGTGAGTCATACATGCACAAATATTTATTATTAATTTTGAATCGAAGGTTTTGAGGGAAGTTAAATGTCTATTTCGATCTCAGATTTAAAAATTATATCTGCCAGATCTTACTAAGAAAACTTGTATTTTTTGACTAAGTTAGTTTGAGATAAAGTCTTTATCATATCTATATGCATGTTAACTTAATTTATTTTTAAAACAGGTTTTTTTATAAGTTTGCTAATTATCAACTTTCCTTCACTTGCAGTAGGTAATGCAAAATATATTCCACATTGTTTATTGTTTGACTTTTTGGTTCAGCACACATGTTTGCAAGAGGCAGTGTTAAAAGAATTTCTTTTAATATTTGTGAGAAAACATGGAATTAGATATTAACAAATGTATAATATGGTAAATAGAAGGTGTGCTAATATTTTAACCTGTTTTTCAAATTGAACTTTAATTACGCATACATAGATGTTTTTGTATTTTAGTCTAAAGTGGGATAAAAACTTATCTGTTTTTCTTTTGGGCCACTTTAATGAATTTAATGAATCAAATCTCAGTTTAATATCTCTTCTTGAGCTCCTATATCTTAATAACTTTTAGATTGCACTTAAATGTGTTTCACTCAAAAAGTTATAATTCTTCTATGTCATTTATTTGTCCTCAAATGATTGTGGACACATTCTCAAAACTAAAATAAACTTTTCAACTTGTCTATTACTACTGTTATCCCTGACATCGTCACTTTTCCTGTTGATGAGTAAATATTTTCAAGAAAAGTTCTAGGAAGAAAATCAATAAACTAATACAATACAAATGTTTATGGCCAAAAATAGCATAAGTAAATGTTCGGGAATTTTTATAAGTGCCCCAAAAGAATATTTCTATTAAGATATCAAGATCATTGACTTCTCAGTATTGTTTCCTTCAATTGTTTGTGTAACAAAGATGTTTATTTATTAGTCATGAACCATTAAAATATATATTTCAAATAAATATCGACATACTAATTACTAGAGATAGGAACTTACCAGAGCTATAAAATATTCATGTGATAAAATGTTTTGTACTTTCTTTTAAAAAAATAGATGCTGATGTCCACTTGCGAAAGAAGCAGCGACAGTCAGAAAGATATAACAATATCATGAATAAATTTAAGGCAACTGCTGATCGTGAACATAAACAGAATAAAAGTGCTCGACCACCACAAGACAAGTATACTTTTACTCCAGAAGATTTTAAATATGAAAATAAGCATTACAAATACATTAAGTATACAAAATACAATAAGGTAAATTAAATCCATTTAATATTCTTATTAATTTAATTTTGACAATTTGACCTCAATGTATTAGTTTTATTCTATGTACCCACTTTCTCTTGCTAATATTAATTTTATTTTCATAATTCATTGCTATAAATTTTAAAATGGTGCAATAATAGTAAACAAATAAAATTTAAAAGAACTACCATCATCTAATAGCATTTAGCTGATGTACATTTCAAATCTTTTTATTTTCATTTTTCTTTTTATTCCCTCTATAAATAATACTGTGTTCACAATGCAAATGATTATGTATGTAAATAAAATTTGATAGATAGGCCTTTAAATAAAGCTTTCCATAGTAGAATGACAAATATTGGCTGACAAGGTGATGTCACTTGCAAGATGTTAATTCACTTTTATGCATAGGATTCACCACGATTTCAGTTGTAAAATTGTCAAATTTTATTGAGGCAATTCTGAAATAAAAGCACATTTCTAGACGAAATAAATACTGTAAATCACAAGATAAAAAATATTTTGAATTGTACAAAATTGTTTTGTTCAAGTAAATATTTTTGTGTCTTGTGAATAAAATTTTTAAAGAATATCAATCACAATTACACATTTCTGCTACCCAACATATAAGGGTAAATAAAACATTTAGAACAGGTCTCCCAAAAATGTAACTGTTCTTACACAGTTCAGTTAATTAAATGAAGTTTAAATTTATCTTCTTTCCATTTCTTATCATACTGTAATTTATCTGACTAAACTGTTTCCGTGTCTCAATTGTCTATCAATTATTGTGTTATTATATGTGCTTCAGGATGGTTTTGCTGCCACCAGTGTTCCATTTTCCGATGATAAAGCGCGGCAACGTGGATATAATGAGGTTTTTGATACCAAGCCTGCACATAATACACCTTGGAGCAAAGAATGCCCACCAACTGCACTGCAAGCTATGGGAAATCGTCTTCTTGATTGGTTCTCAGTGGTGATGGCAGAAGCAAAGAGACGGCGATCTCATGCCAAAGGAAAAGGTGACCGTGCAAAATATTTAAGATTTGGTCAGTTTTTTATTTATTTATTTCCAATTCGATCCTTCTTGTCTTAAAGACAAAAATGTTGAATTTGCAGCTCACTTTCCTGCTACTTGCAAGAGTGAAGTGCGCTGGATGTTCCAGCACTTAGATTTGGATTCAGATGACCAACTGTCATTAGAAGAATTGTATGATTTAGAGCATGATCAAAGTGAGAAATGTATTAAACCTTTCCTTGATGCTTGTGATGCTGACAAGGACATTTTTGTTACTCCTCGTGAATGGTGCCATTGCTTCGATAAGGCAGATAGACCATGTGCAGCTGTTAAGCGTCGCATTGTTCCTGATCTTATGGGTAGGTTAATTTTACATTCCAGAACATAATATGTAAAAATGAAGTTAATGGATGTAAAATAGCTTATAATGTATCTGAATATATTATATTCCCATAGACTGATTACTTCTCAACAGTATTATCTTTTATCCTTGCCTGCCTTTTATCCTCAATTATTTGTCTTATTTTGTCTGACTGGTATATTACATTTCTTTTCACTACGTCACTTTATCAAAAATACTTGATAGCAATGAAAAGTAGGTATGAGGAATAATGAAATTCTCTTTGCTATGTGCTAACGTCATCATTATTAATAAATGCTCACTGTTGTGTGTAATACTTATGGCTATATACTAGATGTGTTGATTAATCTTCCAAGAGTTTTTATATAATACATTTGTTTGTCCTTTTGATCATGTTTCAGTGTTTTTTCTTTGTTGTTGTTAGTTTTGTTGTTGTTGATGCTTTGAAAGTCTTCTTCTTGTTAATCTGTTGATGTGCCCACCGAACAAGGACACCCATGAAAACCATCACCAGAAGGGACACAGTTATCATCAAAGGAGATCAAAATATCATCCATTTGAATGATTATTTTAAATCTGACCAGCAAGTTGACAATTGTCATGTCACCCAAAACACAAAATTCACAGACTCAACTGTCCTTCTGGTACATATGAGCCAATGATCCCCATTTCAATCAATGTTTTTGTTCGGTTTCCTTTGATCCATGAAGCAAATGGTGAAATGCCAATATACTAGATGCACATGTGTTGAATTCTCATTTTGCTAGTTGCACGTTTTCAATTACTTGGGAGCAAAATTTGCATGTTTGCTAACCTCTCTAGATCTTAATTCAACAATGTATAGACAAGAGAGGTGTGGGAATAGTAGAGGTCAAGAATGAGCACAGATTACATTTACTCTCTCATACGTTACATAAAATTTAACCATTGTTGTTTTTTGTTGTTTTTTATGATAAATCAAAAATTACATTTTAGCAAGTTATCGTCTCTGGTTCTTAACTGTTTTTTGAATATAAATAAATAGAAAAATAAATAAATATATAAATAAATAAAAATTCCACCTGAACCAATGTAAAAATTGCACACTTAGTTTAAATGTTTAGTTGTTTTTAAACACAAATGTTCAAAAACTAAAAATTGTTCCATTGTAGATCACAACTTTTAAAGACCCTTCTCTGAATTGTGCATTAGCATTACAAGCACGGTTCTTTTCTGACCACTCTTGCGGTAGAATGGAAACATTCAAAAGAAACTAAATATAAAAAAGTAGAAAGTTCAAAAAGAGCCTTTTTTGTAGAATACTGTGTACAGGGGTGACCAGAAGGGGGGCAGCTGGGGCAACTTGCTCCTGACTCAATTTAATTGAGGTCCTGAATTTCTCCTCACTTAAAGGAAATAAAAAATGTATTCATCTCTAAACCAAATTTAATTCTGTAATTAATTTCTGATGGATTGAGAAATGAATTATTTATGAATCTGGGGAAAAGGGAATGAGTTGTTTGCAATTAAGGTCCCCCATGGATCAACTGCCCAAGGCCCTTGGTTTTCTCTGTGCGTCCTTGACTGTGTAAGAAATGTAATACTGGTCCCACTTGTCTCCCTTCATATTCCCACATGTCCTCCAACTATCCCTTGACATTCCCCCAGTTATTCCCCACCTGCCATCTAAAACTAATGTCCCACTTAACACACCTGTCTTCACAAAACTTGTGTCCCTTCAGAGACATAAAAAAGCTGATGATGGATTGTTTCCAAGTCTTATGTGATTCTAATATGTTGCAATAATCTGTTTTGTATGATAAAATATGCAAACTTTAATTTTTTTGTCATTAAATCGGTTGAATGCCGTTCTAGGGTATAATTTTGTTCTCAGCAGTAACACACTTACCAGGATTTTTGTCGATGGTTTATTATAAATCGCCAAAAAACTTAATCTAATTTGTGTATCATTTCTAGAAAGGATGTGAATTTATGGTCAATGGTATTGAGTATCAATTTGTTTGATATCGTTATTAACTGCTATTTCAACTCACTGTGATTTGTTGTTCCTGTTTCATTATGTTTTTCAGTGTGATCATTTTATTCCCTTCCTCTTTCTTTCTTTCTTTCTTTCTTTCTTTCTTTCTTTCTTTCTTTCTTTCTTTCTTTCTTTTTTCTCTTCTTTCTTTCTTTCTTCTTTCCTCCTTTCTTTCTTCTTTCTTTCTTTTCCTTTTCTTTCTTTCTTTCCTCTTTCTTCTTTCTTCTTCTTTCTTTCCTTCTTCTTTCTTTCCTCTTTCTTCTTTCCTTCTTTCTTTCTTTCTTTCCTTCTTTCTTTCTTTCTTTTTTCTTTCTTTCTTTCTTTCCTTCTTTCTTTCTTTCCTTCTTTCTTTTCTTTCCTTCTTTCTTCTTTCTTTCTTTCTTTCTTTCCTTCCTTCTTTCTTTCTTCCTTCTTTCTTTCTTTCTTCCTTCTTTCTTTCTTTCCTTTCTTCTTTTCTTTTCTTTTCCTTCTTTCTTTCTTTTCTTTCCTTCTTTCTTTCTTTCTTTCCTTCTTTCTTTCTTTCTTTCCTTCGTTTCTTTCTTTCTTTCTTTCCTTTTCTTCTTTCTTTCCTTTTTCTTTTCTTTCTTCCTTCTTTCTTTTCTTTTCTTTCTTTCTCTTCTTCTTCTTTCTTTCTTTCTTTCCTTCTTTTCTTTCTTTCCTTCTTTCTTTCGTTTTTCTTTTCTTCTTTCTTCTTTCTTTCTTTCTTCTTCTTTCTTTCTTTCTTTCCTTCTTTCTTCTTTCTTTCCTTCTTTCTTTTTTCTTTCTTTCCTTCTTTCTTTTCTTTCTTTTCTTCCTTTCTTTCTTTTTTCTTTTCTTTCTTTCCGTTCTTCTTTCTTTCTTTTTCTTCCTTCTTTCCTTTCCTTCTTTCTTTCCTTTCCTTCTTTCTTTCTTCTTTCTTTTCTTTTTTCTTTCTTTTCTTTCTTTCTTTCTTTTCCCCTTTTTTTTTTTTTTTCCTTTTTTTCCCTTTTTCTTTCCTTTTTCCTTTTTTCTTTCTTTCCTTCTTTCTTTCTTTCCTTCTTTCTTTTTTCTCCCTGGAGGACTAAAAAATCTAAATATTTCTTTGATTTGCAACTCTTTCTTTGTATTCTCTAATAACCCATGCTCCATTTTTTTCCCCCCTTAGTCAATTTATTTCTTATTTTCTAATGCAAATCTTTTACAGCTAACACAAATGCATTGTTTTCAAACGTAGCATTCTTAACAGTGATTAAATTAGTAAATTCAATAAAAAAGCAAATGAGTGATCAAAATCTGGCATTTTGACATTTTGGCTTAGCATATGACATTTTTATTAACTTACTAATGTATTTAAGAAAATGCATTGTAGAATATTAAGTCAAATCCATCATTTTGATTTCTTGTGTGAAGACAAATCTGTGAAAATCACTCATTGTGTTACTTATTTGTATTTATTTTGAATGAAGAAATCATTGACTTATTTTAATAATAACCATACTAAACACCTTTTTCATTCATCATGCAATGTTTTCTTGCTTTAAAAGTGTGTGTACATTCAATTGTGTTAAAACTCTTCTATCAATTTTTTGCTATGTAGGTGTATATATTCCCGATTGTGATGATGAAGGATATTATCGTCCTACACAGTGTCACACTTCTGTGGGGATGTGCTGGTGTGTTGACAAACATGGGGTTGAGCGAGCTAACACTCGCACACGTGGGAAGCCAAACTGTGGTATGATTTTTTAATAAAAAGTGTATATGATTATCTTACATAGACTCAATGATACTACCTGTCTGTTAATTGACCCAGAATCTATCCTAGGTAAAACAAGTAAAGCCAATACAAATGAGGCTGATAACACGACAGATGATAATGATGATGATGACGACGACGATGATGATGATACAGAACAGGATGTTGAAGGAAGTGCTGATCAACCATTGGACTTTTAAGCTCACCTTCCTGCTGCCCTCTATTTACTAAGGACCGTCATAGGTAAGATGGTATATTATGTTTTCATTTCTGCAAAATATTAAGGAACTCTCAATTAAATTGCCATTGTTCGTAGTTCAGTAATTTCTCTGACTATATCATCCAAATTTTACATATTATTTCTTATCATCTATTCTCTAGTCTTCAGAAAACCTTGGTATTACCATCATCAAGTTTGAGAAAGGAAAGTTGTCAGAGGTTTGATTTCCTGGAAAGGTCAATATCTAAAAGTTGTATCTCTAAAAATACAAAGCTTAAAATCATCTTAGAGATCTTCAAAATCGTATCAAAAATTTCTTTCATATTGTTCAGGCAGGCTTGAATTGACTACTGAATGTCTAGCTGTCAAAGCCTTAAACATTGCATTAGCATATCTAGATGCTTATAGAGTTAACATAATAAAAATGCTTTACACAGCTTGATAATGATGTATCTTACTATATTATTTGCTTAAAAAGATGCCAAATATTGTTCTTAAATTCTTAACATTCTTTTTCGGTAGGTCAGAGACATGGGGAGACGCCTGTTCCTCGCACCCCCTCCTGTAGGGGCCAAGCACTACCATATTCTTTTGCACCAGCAACTACTACGAGCCTGCTCTCTAGGGTGGCAGCCAACCCAACCAAGGAGTTATCAAATCTGACATTACACGAAATATAATTGGTAACAATAATATTATCAGCAGCAGCTAACGAATTTAAACTGCTTTTGCACCATAAATGGTCACACTTGGGTCCTCCCATGCAAGTATGTTTATAGTTGATGTTACCGGAAGATTAGTGCTCGTGAATTATTTTGGATTTCATTTACAGCATTGTAAATGAGTCCATTCCCCTGCTTCCATTTTCTTCATTTGCACATGTATCATTTTTAATTTTCTTGTGGGTGTTGTTTAATGTCCTAGAGATATCCAGAATCTGCAATATAAATTGACTTCTTGATGAGAGTTGAAACTACAGTTGTGTTTTGTATGTGAATTACTTGTTATGTGCGTGTTTGTTACTAGAAACTGAAAAGTGTGAGACCAGCAAATATTATATAACCTGTAAGTTCAATTCAGTTTGCTACTCGCTTGGATGTTCAGTTGATACTGCATGTACACACATCTAAAATGTTTGGTGGAGTTCAGTGTGAACCAACCAAACACAACTAACTCATTACATGTAAAATATTTGTAGTCAGTTGCATACTTCCATTTTTAATCAGACCGTCTTTTTTAACAGTGAATCATTCCATGACTAACATTCCATTGCTTTCTTTGCTATATATTCTTAGTCTCAATAAATAGTTGTTCGTTATTAAGAAGTTTTTATTTTTATTCTTAATCATTGCTGACATTAATGACTGACTAATCTGTTAGGCTATTTATTGCAAATTTTGCTTTGTTTTAGATAGAGACCGTCCAATAGTTATACTCATATATCTTTATTGTATAATTTTATTGTACCATTGTAAGCCTTTGTATTATGATGTTTGTAAATATTGATTTATTTCTTTAATACTTATGTGAAAATGACATTTTAATAAATGTGTATTCAAGCTGTTTGCTGTGCAAAATTACATGGTCAATGTACATCTGTATTTCGCCTAGTGTCTTCTTGTGTTGTGATTATTGTAAGCAGGAAGTTAAATCTTTCTTTTATGCCTTATTGCAAAGAATTATCTAATTAGTTAGTTGTTTTGTGTGCCATAAGTGAATGAATAATATTTATCTAAAGTGAAGATAAACAATAATGATGCAAGTCTTAGAACGTAATACAGTTCTGTTAATTTTAATGTTACTTAGATGAAAACTGATCCATTGAATGAGTTGATTGCTCAGTGTTCTGCACTGAGTCAGCTAGTGTACTGGCTCTTCATCAGCTTATTAAAACATCGATTAATGATCAAAAAAGAAAATCCTTCACACCTACAGTAATGAAAAGCAAGCAACGGCTGGTTGGCGTTTACACTGATTCTTTCTTTGCTGTTTGTAGTTTGTAAATTGCAAACTCACGTGTACCTTTCATTAATCTTTGTGCCCGTATTTTGTGTTCCTGCCATTGATGTGATGTTCCTTCCTTTGTTCAGGACTGTACGTGCAATGTACTTTCGCCAACTATTAGCTTCTGAGGAAACTGACTAACATTAGGAAATGTGTTTCTTAGAATATATTTTAATGTGACATGAGTATATATGTAGTGATGTAAATGAAGTATATTTTATTTGGGTACATATTTAATTTAGTTTAGGTGACTTAAGAAAAGAATCAAAGTACAGTTAAATGTTAGAAATGCCAACTGAAGCCATGTACATAACCATACAGCTAATCGGTTACATTTTCTCTAGACCACATTTAAAAATGTGTTAATGGTAGATTGTCTTGTAACATGTAGTACTTAAACTAAGGTTTGTTTAATAATGTTACACATGAGATTCACTACTTCTTTATAACTCTCTTGGAAATGTATTACAAAAGATACCAAATTGGGTATGATATGTAATCTATAGATTAATTTTTACAAAAGATCATACTCTTAATTTCTACAAAATGGTGAAAGAATGAAAGTAAGTTTTACAGAATATTCTGGGAATGTATTCTCAACAATTTGGCAATAACAGTGTAATTTTTCAGATGCATATATATACATAGGTGTATGTGTACGCATATTTCATAAATGTATTTTCAAGTTTATGCACATACATATATGTATGTATGCGTATGTGTACATGTATGTATAAGGCTGGCAATTAATTAACTGGTGTACATGTTTTGAAGAACTATAATTAATAAAAATTATATAAAACCAATGTGTTATATCCATTATTATGAGACTTCTTTAGATGTAATGTTCAATTTTCTTGATCATTATAAAGAATTCTAATTTTTTTTATTTTTATGTTGAACTAAAATTCACTCTTCCAATGATTTCATTTACTTCTAAAAATTATGTTGTAATTACTTTTTCGAACTACAAAAGACTGTAATACATCTCAACATCTGTCCATAATGGTGGCACTGAAAGAATTTTATTTAATTACTTATTTTTTATTTTCTAAGTTTATTTTTACTTTCTTGTGTATGAATGTATGTATATATGTTCTTAGGTAATACTGCAAATCCATTTCAATACTGCAAAAACTCAATTTTGAGATTTTAAAGGAAATAAATATTATGGGGTCCCCTTATACAAAAAAAGGGGGTTTTGGATTTAATTTTTTACAAAACGACGTCAACTTCAATTCCACATGCAATGGGAGTATTGCAGCTCACAACTTTTTTTTTTTTTTTTTTTT